GTCACTCCGAACAGGGATGAAACCATTTGCGAGGGGCACTCCCCGTCCGGCCGCCGGAGAGCTAGGCCAAGATACTGGTGTGGTTGCCGTTCAGCCGCGAGTTTTAAAACAATCAACAATAATCCACAATTCAACAGAAAACATCGCGGACAGGTACAGGTTTCGCATACATGTGCGAAAGTTAAGGAGCTTTCAAGAAAATCGCTAGAGAAGCGACAAGAAATGCGGAATTTAAAAGTGAAAGACAGGAAGGCAGTGCTGACAGACGGTGGCACCACTCTACACCCCGCTTCACCGTTTTCACGAAAATTGCGACGAATTAAAAGCATTTAGCAGCTACTTTATGGGCAGTGTTTCGCTGGAAGAGAACAGCCCAGAGGGAGAGCACGGCACGGTGTGCTGCTCGCGCTGCAGGAAAGAGAGAGGGAGAGAGAAGTAATCAGGTGGAAGCAGGAAAAGGTGGGCGGGGAGGGGGCGGAAGTAAGAAAAAGAGAGTGGGGCGTACATATGAAGATTGAAGAAAGAGGGAAATAGAAGGTGAAAGACAACAGGCTAAAGCAGTGGCCCCAGGGGTGGTGGAAAGGGGAGGGGGGTGATGCGCGACCTCATGCGCTTCGGCAGCGCGAATTTGCATTCGGCGACCAGAAAAGCTGTCGCCGTCGGGAGTGATTTCTGAGAAGGCGTTTCCTATATCGTGCGGTGCACAGCCCTCCTGCAAGTCGCTGCAGTTTATTTTGCGGCCGTTAACAAGCGAGAACCCCTCTCTGTGTCCCACCCCAGCACAGAGCCCCGCTGGCCCAGCCGGGTCCCACGGGGGCCGATCTCTATACATTGATTCAATCATCAACAAAAAGAAAAGAAGACAATTTCCCTTTCGTTTTTCCTGGGCTTGTCAAAAGTCAACATGTAAGCAAAGATAACAGCAGTGTCACTGAAATAATATTTGAAAATTCGTGAGCTATATACACGGAAAAACAATACCTAATTTAAGGAAAGTGGAAAACTTTAAAAGATTCCTCTGATTTGCGGAAATCTAAAAAAAGGGGATATTTCCCTCATTTTCAGAGAAGATTTCCTTCAAATTATGAGGAGTTTTTTCTCAAACATGGAAGTCTTCAAATTTTTTCCCTTTTCCTCTAAAAATCAGACAATATTTTTACCGTGTACGAGGCGGGAGGTAATAAACAGTTTCCGATAATTTCACCCAAAACCTTTAACGTCAAATTTTCCGGTGCGTGCGATATTCCACTGGCGCATGCGGTCACACTGCTGGATTTGTTTTTCCCGTTTTACTTTTTATTTTGAAACCATCTGCAGAGGTCTGGATGAGTTCGCCACCAGCGTGCGGTACTGGGCATCGGGTATTAAACACGGACTCCTCTCGGGTTCAGAAGGGCACAAAAAAGAGGAGTGGAAGAGGAGAGCCGAGGTAGTAATGAGGTGGCATGGGTACGCACCTTCTACCCGCCGGCGGTGTTTAACGACAGCGGCGTAGCAGAGGGCGAGGCGCGCAGCGGACCAGGGCTACGCCACCGCCAGTGTTTACGATCCGAGTGTTATGTCTTGTTTCTCCCGGGAGGGGCCGCCGGAGGAGGCCGGAGCCAGCGACGGAAGAAGAGAGAGAGAGAGGGGCTCTAAGCAACGATGATGCCCCCGTTACGAACGCAGTCCTTGCCGCTGCGAGCGGGGGAGGCCGTGGTGTGGCGGTGGGCGTGAGATATTAGCGGGTATCAGAGACGCACCAGAGAGAGGGAGAGACCGGGGGGGGGGGGGTATCTCGGAGTATCTCCTTCCTCATTAGAGCCTGGCTTCTGCTGGAAACGACCGGGAGCACGGACCACCGAATCAATTTGGACCTGGCTCCGCGTCCCAGAATTATTTATTTACTCATTTGCATTCGGTGTTATTTACACTTCGATCCGTAAAAGAGGTCATGCTCGCG